TCTACTCAGTCTTGGCTTTGGTGGCTTGTCACATCAGATTCTACAGCAGGGTAGCAGCGACCAGACCGTCGGGGTAGGTAGCACGATGGGAGTGTGACTGTACCACTATGTAGCCGCTGGAGTCTTGACCACAGCGGCTGCGTAGCAGCCTGTAACAACGCACATACTGATTGTCGTGAGGTGGTGCGTACTTGACGATGTACCGTCGGCTCGAACGCGATGCTTTTCTGCGCCACGATTGCCCATGCGGTTTGACAGGTTCAGTAGTCACAAAGTCTGTTCGGTGGAGAACCAAGCATACCCCATCTGAGCATCTCAATCGGTTCTTTCCGTGTTGCATCCGATGGACGCTCTCGCATCCTTCAATCTTACACTTATGTCTTCGAATCATTCCTACTGGTCAACTATGCAAAACTGCCCCATCTACAACACTCAATATAGCATTGCCTCGTGGCTTTACCCATCACCCTCCGTTTTCTATAATATATTGCTTATAACTTGCCGCTAACCAAATCCACTGCGAACCGTGTCATGAGCTTGCGAGGTCCTCCCGGCGACCGTTGAGCCGACAGGGGTTCTGGAGTTCTCAGTGTCTCGGACAGGGTTGAAGCGAGGATCTGCGGCACAGTCTAAACCCAGCTCGCATCAGAACTCTAGTCCGACCACATCCACCTCACCACCACCGACTTTGCGCCATTCTCTACATCAGCGCTTCCGCGCTTGAAATAGCTACCCAGGAATCCAAGTATAGTACTCAGCGTCAGAAGAAATTGCACGCCTCAAAATCAACGTGAAGAGTACCGTCGCGCTATGACAAGGGCCAAAGGGGTGTTCACTGGACCCTGGCGGATACGTCCACTGGGGCAACGTCAAAGCAATGACGTCTTACTGAACCCAAGACCTGTTCAACCTGGTCAATATTCGAGCAAGGCCAGAGCAAGAGGTTTTCCAAGGCGGCTGACTAGTTTTCGGGGCAAGCGGTACTAACACGGGTTTCGCTGCTTCCGCTGCCTAGGTTACCTAGTAGTATGTGGCTCGCATGAGGTTGAAACCCCACTCCCACCCATTGCGGGAAGATGCGACCTGTAATATGAACCGAATGGATCTTTGCTAATGCGGGTCCCTTCAGCCAATGGCCGGATAGACGCCTGAGGACCGCTGTTCCGAAACCGTGCGTTGCTGCTACCGCCCAGTGGTTTTGTCATATACCGTTTGGAGTCTCATACCCGTCTCTTGTCTCTTACGTCTAATGCTCACGCTCTTTCCCCTTCTTTCGTTGCTCTGCTGGCAGGCTTAGCCATTTCCTTCTTTGACACTGAGCTGGTTACTCGTTCGTTTACGTCAGTCATACGGTCTCCATGAATACCTAGTCGATTTCCTTTCTTCAGCCGCTGCTGGTTACCAGCGAGACAATATTATTCCTTCTACACCTGTTGTAACTGAAGCCGGCAAGATGGAATCATGGGCGGACCATTTCCCTCAGCTCGAGGCCCGATCGCACTTCAACTTGACTCTCAACACTTCGGCCGTTCGTCAAGTTCCCTGGACACAAACAAACACGACAAGAACCCTTATCGCGAGTCTACAGCTACAACAAGTACAAACGCTCCGAACGACACATCTTACCCTGGGAGCGTTTAGCCTTGCTTTGACATTATTGACGGTCCATCGAATTGTCTCAGACGCACGACGCGCAGCAGCTCTTCAGGTCCTTCCCAGGAAGAAGTAGGTACGAATTATTGGACAGTTGCATTATTACTAACAAAATATAGGAGATTCAATGCTTTGCACAATGTTCACCCTGCTGAAACTTTTCCACTCGCGTTGGCTTGCGGTGCCGTTCTACAACAAACTATCTTCGTATCAGTGCAGGGCACTACACTCCATAGTGTGTTTTCTAAGAGTTGTCGCGGACTGGCAATGGTCACATTCCCTGGTACGCTTAGCACACTTTGCGATCTGCGGACGAAGAGACTGACGGGCGTTAGCTATTTTTCTGATCGGGTACATCACCTTGGTTTTCGGCATCGAAGTCGTGGTCAGAGCCTACAAACAAGACCGATTCGCTCCACGCGGCAAATGGAACACAATAATATGTGTTGCCGTCGTATCGTTTATGCTTCTGCTCACCTGGATGCCAACTGTGGCCTGGCCATCGCCAAACACTTGCTTTGGTGGCCTCATCTGGTTTCCTATGCGATACGATCTTCTCATGTTAATTTTTCTTTCTGTTCTTGTCTTCCTCTTGCTCTTGGTAGCCGCTTTGATCAGTATCCAACTGATGAGAACACCCGAGATCGATCACAATGAGCGTATTTCAGCTTCACGCATGACCTACTTTCTGATTGTGGCTGCACTTATTTACGTGAGTGTCCTTACTGCTCTCTTTTTTCCATTAGCTGACAATTGTAGACTCTCGTCATTCCAGTAGAAGTACAGTCTCTTCGACGAGAATTTATGGAAGCACTGGCCGCTTCTCGAATCGCAGAAATCTCGCTCTTCTCCTCAGGAATGGTCATCACCTTCTTCCACCTCTTCCTTCGTACGAATGCCACACGAATGGTCATCCGTCCCATTGAAGAGCTCAAGGCTCCTGCGAAACAACAACGTCCAAAAATTCGATTCTTCGGTCCTAGCGATCTGGAAATGCAGATCAGCGGCCCGATGGCACTACAAACAACTCATCGTTTACACAGCCAACAGGGTCTGATCGATGTTGGGCCAGAAAAGAACCGTGGGGACTTTGATGCCGAGTACTTCGAACGACCCGAGCGGGCTTTAACGCCGGCATCGACCAAACCTGGAAGCCCGATCGATCTCACAAAGTGGCCTCTACCACCTGCTCTGGACAATGATGCTACAACACATGAACGCAAGCAAAGTTACTCTCTTTTCCCCACACGCGCGGAAGAGGTACCTCGCCTTCCCCCAACTGTCTACGATCCCAAAAATACGTCAGACGGTTCCTCGGTTTCTAAACTCGCCCTACGGCGCTTCACACGACGAGGCTCGGTTACCAACGTCAGCGATGCTTTCGACTTTCTCAGCAAGCCAAAACTACCATTTGCGGAACGGCACCAACGCATGCAAAGTACAGATAGTAGCGCAACAGTTCAGATTGGTCTCCGCTTCTCAGTAGCGCCTGCAACACTTGCAGCAGCCAAATGTACGCGAGCTGAACGAGATACACCACCGCTAAAACGAGGCGTCACTGATTCAAGCGAAGATTCATTAGGCCTCCCGATCCAGAAGCCTTCTTCGACAGGCATGTCACCATCTGAAGAGATGCCTAGCCCGAGCACGTTTCCCCAACCACCCCCGCGTGGTGACTCGCCAACTCGGCCCAGGGCTAACAGCCCGGGACGGACCCCAGCCTTTCCTCTCACGCCGTCAGCTCAGTCCAGCGCCTATCTCCAGGCTCAGCGCGAGAAATTGCTACCCTCCCCACCGCCGAAATCACCAAATCCACCTCCACGTTTCGCAACCCCGACACAACCTGTCGTCCCCGCACCTGCATGCATAAGCGGACTGCGGATGAACCCTGTGACACCCGTTGCATCAGTTGGTTCACCCACTACAGCATCACAACCAGCAACGCCCGTGTCGGTTGCCAACCTTGCACGATCAAACAGTGGCCGTGCATCTCCGTCACCCACAGCCCGCATCCCACTTGGGGCAGGCACAATGTCACGCACTCCGCGACCCAATGGCTGGATCTGAGGCATGAGAGTGCTTTTCAGGGTCTTTCTTTTCCTTTCTACCGCTAGACCGGGATCGGCGACGAGCCGCTGTACGATAAACTGGGGAGATGCAAGTTCCTGAATTTCTTGTTTCCTTGCTTCGGCGACTTGGGTGGTTCGCGTCTGGGCAACATACCCACACAGGCGTTACGGTTTCGGTTTCATGTTTGCACGACTCCTGCGACAGCGTCTCGCACAGGCCATCTTGGCTCTGTCGCATGGAGACTACGGGCTTACTGTAGGCTTTCAGGCCCTACCAGGCCTTCTCCGTTACGTTGCTCACGATACGAACATTCATTCACGAACACCGGTGCTGCGCACCCTGCCACGGAATCGGGCACAGTACATCCGCTCTTTATACCCACACCCTTCTCTCCCCCTCCTAGCTCCCATTTCCCCCAGTTACCTTTCTTCACGTCTCATTTATCTTCCTATTGTCTCTTCATTGAGCCTGTTAATTATCCAAGAAGGCGGTAGGCCTTGATACGTCGTAGCATAGTCAATCTCGCTAGTCCCATTCGAAAGCAGTAGACCTCTAAACAAAGTAAAACCATTCTCCATATCATCACGCGTCCATTATATGTCACGATACCCACAGATCATTGGTAGCCTATGCGAAGAAGCTCATTTCTTTGGTCGTATCAATCACCGGAAACTTGACCCAAAGGTATACATAGTGATGTAAACTGTAATTCTGAAAGAGAAACAACGGTGTATACCTTTGAGGTAGGGTTTGGTGTTCGTACTACACGTACGTCCTATGGGTAGCTATGTCAACGTCAATAGACCTCACGATTAGTTAACAAGGAGTTGCAACCATTGATCTGCTCGATCCGTATACCCGTTCCCACTTTTCTCTCTTCCATCTAAGGGCTGGTACAGAATTCCAAATCTTGTGCTGGGCCGGAACCCGGGTGGCATTCGGGCGTGGATCTAAGATTTTCTATTCGCCTTTTGTTTCGGGCAGACGAGTCGAACGCATAATGGTGTGATCACCACGTGGCTGGGCATTGCTGTCGAGTATGTGTCTACGTAGGGCTCCTTTGTCAGTCGTTCCGTGAACGATGCCAGGGTCTTGGTCTGCCCAGCTGGGCTGATTAATGGATTTTCCGTTCATAATGACTTGGAACGAGATGCCTTGCTGTGCGATGACGTCGATGGCAGAGACGGTGCAACAGAACCCTTACGCATTATCATTTATTCGTTTCTACGTAGCTTGTACAACCATGGCACTTATACTACAGGACAGCATTATCTATTTCATCGTCTCCAACGTTGCCAGAACTTCCATCCCACTTTTTCATTACCTTCTTCAGGCATACGAAACTTGTTCTGCTCCTTCCCTCTACGCCTTCCCACCCATGCAAACCATATCACTAAGCCCACCACCATGAACGCTACAACGAGTAGTGTCTGTAATGGCTCGGCAAACACGGCTCTGCTCAACAAGAAGAGACTAACGCAGCAAAAGATAATAGGCGTGGTGATCCAGGTTTTATACGGACGTTCTAGATCAGGTTCTCGAACGCGAAGGATGATGAGGCCAAGTACGGTTTGAAAATAGAAAGCGTACCCTGCTACACCATAGAAGGTGACGAGAGTGTCGAAGCTGCCGACAACGATGTAAATGGCTGTCAGGACAGCATTGAGTACCATGGCGGATATAGGCGTAAAGAAGAAGCCTGCATCAGCGTCTGCAAACCAGCTCACTAGCTTCTTGGGGATCTTGCTCTTCCCTTGTGTTGAATTCATGCTGTGCAAGCGGATCGCCCTATGATTCTTCCCCAGTCCAATATTCCCGAATAGAGATGGAAGATAACCTTCTTTGCCAGCAGCGTAAACAAGGCGGCCAGATGTGAATGTTGTTGCGTTCAGTGCACCGAAACATGATCCCGAGACAAACAATGCGAGTATGAGTGATCCAATGGGACCAAACACTTGTGATCCAAAGGCTACGGCGACGGTGTTGGACGACTCGATGACGGAGGTGGGAAGTACGAGGAAATAGGATATGTTGGCTAGGATGTAGCAGAGTATGACGAGTGGGAGAGAGGTGTGGATGACGCGGGGGAGATCGCGGGTCGGGTTCTTGAACTCGGCAGTCACGTAGTTGACCTGATGCCGTCAGCAGAGTCCGGAGAAATTGCGGGAGTCTTGACTTACGTTGTCCCAACCATCGAAAGCCCAGAGCCCGGCATAGAGCGCCACAGCCCAGTTGCTAACGTTTTCGCTAGTATCCTCGAACCAGCCGCGGTTCTTCCAGTCTTCATTCGCGTCACCCTTGTAGGAAAGCCCGGTCGCTGCAACTACGATACCGATTACGGTGACTCCTGTAAGTGCAAAGAACTTCAGAAACATGAAGACATCGGCGCTTCTGGTACCCAGCTTGGTGGACACACAGTTCAGTAGCGTGACGGCCACAAGTCCCACCAAAGCCACGCCCTTGTTCAACCATGTGCTCGCGTCCACAGCTTCGGCGCCAATTATTGCGCGCACTAAATATTCTCCAAAGATGATCGCAATGATGGCTGCTGAGCCTGGTTTCAGCACCACGACCGCACACCACGTAAACAAGAATCCCGCCCATTCTCCGAAAATCTTGGATAAATAGACTTGTGCACCACCATTGAGTGGTATAGCACCTCCGAGCTCCGCATAACTCGCGGCACCCGTCCATGCCAGTATTCCGGCCACGACCCAGACAATAAGGGACGCGCCTGGCGATCCAGCATTCTTGTTGACTTGTGATGGCGAGGAGAAGATGCCGCTTCCTATTATAAGCCCAACTACTAATGACAATCCATTAAGGTATGTCAAACTCTTGTTCTTCTCTAGTGAGCCGCCGTTAAGCGCGTTGGACGGGTCTAGGGCCGGGTTCGAAGGTGCGCCCAGTGCTGTGTATCCCTGCGCAGTGCTAGAGAGAGGGAATAGATTGGGTGCAAAGTCGAAGGCCGAAGATACGCTGTACGAACGAGTGTGCCGTGGTCTGTTCGGATCGTGACCAGCAGGGTTCAGTTCTGACAAGGGGTCCTCATCGTCAAATGACAGTCTGCGCGAAGAAGGCGCACCCGAGGTAGAAGATTCTTCAGAGGTTCGGCGCGAGGGGTGCGAAGAGGAGGCCAGTGAGGCAAGTTCGAGTGAATCGCGAGTCGGCGGTGGGAGGTTGGAATAGCGACCGGCCATGATGCGGATGGAAAGGCTGCGCGCAACTCTACCTGCTAGCCATGGAGAGAAAATATGATATGATGAGCCGAGTAGCAGATAGGGGTAGTATCCAGCACCCCTTTGTCAAGCATTCACAGCTGCCGTGTATGAGTGGTGAAGCTTGCATGCGCTGTTGAAACCGACGGGCTCCTATGCCGTCATTGGACTAGCTCCCGTTTCGACGCTAGCCCTGGAAGCTATATCGAACTGGGAAAGCTCAAGTTTGCATCTGAACATATGCCGTTGAGGTAATCGCTAGATTCTGCATAAATTTCTACGTGTACGAGAAATTGCGTATACCTCCATGGCATGCCATAGTTACGGCGCGTGTATACAGTTTTCAACTTCGTAGTTGTCAGAGATCCAAAGTGTTTGCATGATCCTCGTCTTATCGATAGGCCCAAAAAATGTGGGAGTCGTTCACAAGTGGAGGCTTGGCGTAGATCAGGTCGCGCATCCTTCCGACTATGAATACGACAAGTGTACGACATGCGCATACGACAAGGTGATGCGTGGTCTCAGTCTGCAATCCGTGGGCCGGCGGCGCGCCCCACGTCTCCTTTTCCTCCGCCCGCGTATAGGTTTACGACGGGCGAGCACGTTGGAGAGGAAATCAAGAGCTGAAGGAATCAAGGTTGAATCGCTCACTGCCAAATGGCAGCCACACTGGGATCGACTGTCATCCCAATGGCACGACTTACGGGAGTCCGACAGAGGAAATGCATACGTGCTGCCCATGTTCCCATACCCCTCCGGCACGCTCCACCTCGGCCACCTGCGCGTATACACGATATCCGATGTTCTCTCCAGATACAAGCATATGCAGGGCTACAAGGTCCTGCACCCCATCGGATGGGATGCGTTTGGCTTGCCGGCTGAGAATGCAGCGATCGAGCGAGGGGTGCATCCGGAGAAATGGACGCTGCAAAATATCGACACTATGAAGGGCCAAATGAAGGAAATGGGTGGACGCTGGGACTGGGACTCTGTATGGAAAACGATGAATCTAGTCAAGCATGGGCTGATGAATGTATGTAGGAGATACGAACATGCGATCCCCATTTCTACAAGCACACTCAACGGATTTTTCTCATGCTCCATGAACGCGGACTAGCCTACCAAGCCGAATCTCTCGTGAACTACGATCCTGTCGACAAGACCGTCCTCGCGAACGAACAAGTAGACGCCAATGGCTGTTCCTGGCGCTCCGGCGCAAAGGTCGAGAAAGTGATGCTGAAGCAATGGTTTCTGAAGATCAAGGAGTTTCAAGAGCCTCTGTTAAAGGACCTGGACGCTCTTGCACGAGATGGAAAGTGGCCCGAGAAAGTCCTTGCAATGCAAAGAAATTGGATTGGCAAATCTGAAGGCGCGCAGCTTTGGTTCGACGTCATCTCGACTAACAGCGAGACGCGCTTTGAGCCCGTCGATGTCTTCACTACTAGAGCTGACACATTGTTCGGAGTGCAATACATTGCTCTCTCGATGCATCATCCAATTGTTCAGCAGCTAGCTATCGAAAATGCAGAGCTTCGCGCCTTTATGGAGCGAGCAAAAGAGCTACCGCTGGACACCAAGGAGGGGTTAAGGCTACGAGACATTGTAGCACGCAACCCGCTTGCGCATGTTAGAGGCACTACGGGACCTTCTATACCTATCTATGTGGCTCCATATGTTTTGGATGACTACGGCTCGGGCGCTGTAATGGGTGTTCCAGGCCACGATGCGCGAGATCATGCCTTTTGGCGAACGAATGTTGGCGATGAGCCAGTCAAGGTTGTTATATCTGCTAAGAAAGGCGCTCTGCCACTGCCACTTGTACCGTGTAGTGGAAAAGACATGCCAGTGACTGAGAAAGGTTTTGTCGCTGCTGATATAGAGCATTTCGGTGGCATGACCTCGAAGCAAGCCGCGAACGAGGTTGTGCGAGCAATAACCGACACTGGGAAGCCAGCTCAAAAGACGGCAAACTGGCGACTCCGAGACTGGTTGATAAGTCGGCAACGTTACTGGGGTGCACCAATCCCTATCGTTCATTGTGACTCTTGTGGAGCTGTTCCTGTACCTGAGAAGGATCTCCCGGTGGAATTACCGAACCTGCCTGACAGCTTTTTCGAGGGACGCAAGGGTAACCCACTAGCAGAAGATGAGAACTGGAAGAAGACCGATTGTCCGAAGTGCGGCTCAGCTGCTGAGCGCGAGACGGATACGATGGACACTTTCATGGACTCGTCTTGGTATTTCTTCAGATTTCTGGATCCCAAAAACGAGCATGCCTTGGTCGACCCTACAAAGACGAACAGCGGCATGCCTGTAGATCTCTACGTTGGCGGTGTAGAGCACGCGATCCTCCATCTACTGTATGCGCGCTTTATATCCAAGTTCCTGGCAACCACTTCATCGTGGCCCAAGGGCCATTTAACGAATGGTGAACCTTTCACGCGCCTCATCACCCAAGGTATGGTTCACGGAGAAACCTTCACTGACCCCGAGAATGGTCGCTTCTTGCGTCCAGATGAAGTCGACTTAACGAATCCTTCCAAGCCTATCATCAAGGCCAGTGGTGTGACTCCAAATGTCAGCTTTGAGAAGATGTCGAAGAGCAAGTACAATGGCGTGGATCCAGGAGCTACAATCGCCAAGTATGGCGCAGATGCAACGCGCGCGCATATGCTTTTCCAAGCCCCTGTCAGTGATGTGCTTGAGTGGGATGAGAAAAAGATTACCGGCGTGCAACGGTGGCTGCATCGAATCATCAAACTTTCCACAGCGCCCTGGATACCTGATGACGAAATGGAGAAGTTTACAGTACCGGAACATGTTGACAAGAAACTCCTCAACATCCTGCAGGATACTTCAACAAACGAAAATTCTTTGAACGCCACACGCGAAAGCTTAGTGTCTATACTTAAGCAAGATGAAGCGAAGCTTTGGATCAAGACACAAGAAACCATCGCTAGTGTTACTGAGTCGTACTCGCAGACATACTCACTAAATACTATCGTCAGCGATCTAATGACGCTAACGAATGCCATCTGGGACACCCCACATGCGTCTCACATCACACCATACCTCAAGTGGTACTCTATGGCACACCTCGTCCGTATGCTCGCCCCTATCGCTCCTGGTGTTGCCGAAGAAGCTTGGCACCAACTGAACACCTGTACCACATCTCAAACGCACGAAGGCAGCGTAAAAACCGTCTTCGCAAGAAGATTTCCAACCTCTGATCTAGCTATCATACCACTCCTCACTACGACGCGCAAGTGTGTTGTTCAGATAGATGGTAAACGCAAATTCGACGTGGATATCCAGAAGCTTCCCGATTCGATCAGCCCTAAAGACAGTAATGCTGTAACAAAGTTCGTTCTGCGCGAACTACTTCAGACAGACGAGGGAAGGGAGTGGTTTGATAGAGAAACAGGAAAGATCTGGAAGTTGAGTGCGACCGAGAAAGAGAACGAAGAGTTTGGGGTAGTACCCGAGGGATGGAAAGTTATTGCTGTGAACGGCGGCGCGCTATGCAATTTCGTTGGGCCAAAGAAACCCAAGATGGAAAATAGTGGATGAAGACCTGTATACATACGATACCTTTACTCATAGCAACATGTACAATATATGCGACATATTCCAACCTTGGAATATACATCACTTGCCTCAGCACAGCACAGCAATAGTTTTCATAGCGAAAACCTTCAGGGTGCGTTTTGGAGCACACCTGGTTTCGATCATCTTCAAGTCACCGTGCTGATGAAGCCATCCTCGGAATCTTCATCTTTCCAGTCATGTTCCAAAATCACACATCAACAGCTTAAGACCCTTCGTCAGCTTGGTTGTTGTCCCAGCTTGTTGTGTAAGTAGTTTGCTGTCACATATCCTGCTAGCTGGCAATTGCAGGACGAGATACCACGTCGATAACACTGACTTTGTTATCGTTGGCCATCAATTTGTTGATTACAAGGCATATATCAATCACAAACATGTTTCTTGCTTGAAGTTTGGAGTTTACATCTCCCTGTTGTGGAGGAGGCTGTCAACGAAACCCCATGTGAATACCTTTAGGCTACATTTTGGCGTGAGACACAGGCTGCACATAGCACAGTTGTACCTGACACGTGGAGAATATATCATCATGTCGTTGTGTAGCACGACGATGAAACGCTCAGTAAAGACCTTCAGGGTATATTGTGGCCTAAAGCATAAATCGGGTAGATAACGCACATTCATAGCTTGGGTCTTGACAGTATCATCATATCCAGGTACGTACCTAGGCAAAATTGCTGGGAGAAAGAGTTCAATTTACTCATACCGCTCGAACTATCTGATTCATACAGGGTTGGAGAATGTGGCATTACACACAGCAATAGTCTGATCGTAGTGTCCGAACCACAGTCATGATCAAACCCCGGTGCACCATTTTTGTCTGCGAATATCTTTAGGTTATACTATCGCAGAACAGAAGCAAGTCACGGGTAATACGACCCTCGTATCTGCAGTCGACTGGACAATAGTTTCGTCGTGTGTTTGAAACATAAATCTCTGGGTCAAGCCAGAAATATGGAACGAAATGCTAATAACGATGGCAATTTGTTCTTTCCTGCACTTGGCGAGACGCCTTTTGTTGGTGCACAACCAGATGCCTGTTGTTGATGGGAATTTGCCTTCTCTTTGCAGACGTGATGTCACTAAGAGTCCGCTATCTGTTCTGCTTTGGTGATCAAGCGAAGGGCTTAGCGTTGCTCATAGCATAGGGATACCACATCAAAACTCTCTCTTTTTGTGGTTTTATTGTCCCGAGGCGGATATTCAATCGGGGCGAATCGGAAGGCGGGGAGGCGTCGTAACATCGACGGAGAGCATGGTTGTGTAGGACTGAGGTGCGGTCATGAGAAGTCAAGCACTCCCGAAGAACATCGGCAGAATATAAACGTGTTTGGGGTATCGTGGGAGAGTTTAAGATACAATCCTGGGGTTGTCTCCTC